AATATTGCAGACATGAAGGACATTCAGTCTGCCACTTCCTTCTGGGACCAAGCACACTGTAGGGTTCCCTACGGACTCTTGCCACAATATGCCTGAATTTCTTAACTCTCTATGTTTGCTTTTATTATTATTATTTTTTAAGAGCATATATGCAAAGGGTGAGACTTTGGTGACTTTTTCGTGCGAAGGTGGGATGATTGGTTTACCCTATAGCATACACTCGTGCCATGTAAACGTGCCAGAAATCCTGTCAAATTTTTCCAAGGCAAATATTTGTTCAATAGCATAAGATTAGCAAAATCGTCTACATCGCTTTGGCTTTTAGACCCTAGCATGGAAATACAAAATAAACATATGAGGGTAAATTGATGAAAGGAAATGGTATGGCCACATTCCTTTGCAGTCTAGTTATTATTGGAAACAGTCGTGTAGTGGTATGAGTTCCACAGGGTAACTGGGTGCTTCAGTGCAAAGATTCTAGATGGGTTAAATCGACAATAGTATCACAACTGTGCCTCCAGTGTTTTTGTTGTCAGTTAGGTAAAGATCATCCAATAGTGAGTCCAGGGTACTGTGAAAGGCAAGTTGTTTAACCAAAACTAGACACAGTAAGACTATGCATGTAAAATAAACTTCCAAGTGATTAAAATAAAACCAAAATCTGACCAAAAATATACAGTATGCCTGTGGGAAACAAGGGTGCCACGTTACGACCAAATACCCAAGAGATGCTTATCACTCTTAATTCAGCAGTACGCCACATGCACAACCACATGCTGAGGTGGGCATGCAAAAAGACAGACACTCAAAAATACACTTTAGGTAGATGCAAAATAAAAAAGGCATTTCATTGGAACAACTCCTTGACCTGCCAGAGTAGTTTGGGAAATGCAAACGTAAAGCAAGCCAGCAAACATTGCAGGGAAAACAGGGGAGGAGTGGTAAAACAGGAGTATGGCACAGGTGGAATAAAATAGAGCAGATCCAGGTAACTTAGAGAAGCATGTGCTACATGCTAAAAGAGTGACCAACTAGTGTCCCTGAAATCCATCCACAGGTGAGGATTTCAAAAAATAGTAATGAAAAGGAAGTTAAAGGTTTCTACTAAAATAGAACCTTTTCTCCTACCAATAAAATATAAAAACGTGAAGGAGAACACTAGAAATATTACTCAGAACAAAATTCAGGAATATCAAATAAATTATCAAATACATGGAATAGACTATATCCATGAAACTAAACAAAAGAAAGTCAGCAGCCTTCTGTATAAGAAAGGCTATCTTGGACCTCAGAAATGCCAGTGCCAGTAGAAGAATAGAGGTGCCAGTCAGAACCAACGTGTCTCAGCATCTCTTAAAAAACAGCTTTCCTCTTCAGGTTTTAAAGTTTTAGAAGTAAAACTTGGAAGATTAACCCTAGAAGAAATGCATCTTAATTCTTCATTTACAGGCAGCCAAAAGGAGTACAAAGCAATCTGGACAGAGCGATTTGTTAATGCTGAGACACTACTGCCTGTACTCGGTTGAGAAACTGGAGTCCAGGAATAAATAAGATCAGCAAATCTATCCTTTGGAGGAAAGGTGGTTCAGCAGTCCCTCTGAGAAATTGTCACTTATCACATGCATGTTAGACAGAAAGTAAAAAATATTCTCAAGCTCCATACTTCAGCAGATAAAATCAGAAAGCAATTTTTTATACTGTATACAGTAGAGCTCAAGAGGGCTATCTATAAATGTCTCAGTGGAATCCAGGGTAGGTCACTGTTGCAGTCATGATATTCATGAGATGGACTGCTGGTTTAGCAAAACCTATCTGAGTTTATGGCTAAAACTCCACTGACATCTATTGTAAAGGGCTAAGTAAAATAGAAAAGTAAAATAGAAGTTTTTATAAAAAAGTAAAATAGAAGTCTTGGAAGTTAATTGATATTGATATAATTATTGTAATTTACAGAAGGATCTGTATGAAACTAGTCAGTATCAGGGTCAAATACTGGCCAGAGAAACAAGAAAACCAGCTAATGCTTCATGTAACAGCTTAGCACCATTCTGTGGCTTCCTATGAATTTGCTGTGTACAGTTTTACATACATTTCATTCATTTTCTAAAGCTAGGACTGCAGCAACGTGACAAAACTTTGAGTACACGAACAACTTTTCAGCCTCATTTGTTAAAATCAACACAAGACCATTAACTGACCTCCAATAGATTGTTCAGGTGACTGTCAAAACGTATGAATTGATGTATTTTGAAAAGTGTGTCTAATTAATGAAACCCAAGGATCTGAGCTTTACTTTTAATTACTTGATCACTGTAAAATGCCATCTTGAATGCTCTACTTTGCTATAAACTCTTGCACAAAGTTTATATAAGCCTAAAATAATTTCCTGTTGCCAGTAAGGAATAGAAATTTTTCAATAATACAAATACTCCAAAACTGCTGTCAAAGAATAAATTTTGAATGGTATTGTTATTACTGACATTATAAATCCATATATTGTGCCTAAGGAATCTAATGAGTGGGACACTGCTCTTATAAACTCAAGCAGACAGAAATTTGTATCTGGTGTAAACAATCCTACAAAAAGCCAATATATCTATGTGAAAGAATTTTCTATGAGAAAAATTTCTTTTTCTCCTTCACAAATGGCAATACCGGGATTGACAGAAGTGATTCCTGGTTTGAAAGTATTGCAGTGTCAGGGTGACTGTAATTAAATTCCTTAGCGGAATTGCACTCAGATCTCTTTGTTTGGACAATGTAATTTAACATAAAATATATAAACCAATAAAAGGATAAAATATAGCTGTTTTTAAAGCTAATTGGATATTAGCATTATTAAAGGGACTTAGTGTGCTGGTGTTTTCCCCACATTTATCTATTCAAGAAAATGAATTACAGTAATATTTCAGTTCACAAAGGCCAGTGTGAAATGAGCACGTTGCCGGAGAAAAGCAGTGACAAACACTAACTGAGCAGTGTTTGGTGGCACTCTCCGCAATGATTTCTATAAAAAGCACAGAGCTGGGTGTACTTGGCCTTTACCTTGCTTCTCAGAGACACGGTCTGGATGTTTCAGCACTGCCTTTCACAGCTTGTGGGTTGCCTGAAGCTTGTTTTGAAGGCAATGCTTTATTTTACCTCCCAGAAAAACGTATCAGGCTCCATCATAACAACCATTCACAGCATTTAACTTCAGACGTCGACAAAGGACTTAGCAGGTCCAAAAGCCATTGCTTTACAGGTGGAGCCACAGGTGGACTTTTGGAGGCCCTAAATTAAGGGGCTCTCCTCTTCCTTCTCACCTACAAAGCAGATGATTTCAGCTCCTTTATGACTTATTTCCACTTTCTGGGGCCTCAAGCTGTCACCCTCGCTGTTCACCTCTAAGGCCAGCTGACCACCCAATGACCATTGAACATTTTTCAGCTGTTTAACCTGTGGTTTCTTAGCACGCTATCATAGCACGCTGCAATGGCACAAGGCAAATATTGGGAGGCAAGAGCAGACAGTCATGTGTTTTATCTTCTGAAATTCAAGTCACTACAGACTTCCCTCTCTAGCTCCCTGCTCTCCTTCATGGTCTTCCCAGTTTCCTCATAGCTGGAAAGGTCAAAACTGAAAAGCAGTCTTCTCCAAAACTCCCTTCCCACAGCAGGTCTGCTCTGCATTAGAAGAGTGTCAAGCAGCGAGGGAGCCATCTGGAAAAAAGGGCTCTGACACGTCAAAGCTGCTTGCAAATGTCAGGAGAACTATAAGAGAGATCTTGAAGATCTCCATGCAAGTCTTTGTGTTGTGATTTATTAATGGTACAGCTATGTAAAGCCAGAAACGGGGTGAATCACATTTGGTACAGGGAGTTATTTTTTTAAATCAAAGCATAACTGAAGGTCTCTGGAAGGTTTTGCTAACTTTTGTCCCACTCTGAGCCTAGACCAGTCCCTCTGTTTATAACTGGCTGTCTTTAAAAGTCCTAGAGGCAATATAATACTTTGGTCTCTTTTAACGCCCCCCCCGTCTCTCCATGTCGCTCTTTGAGAACAGCAAATACAAACCCTCTCCCTCCAAATTCCCAAGCTTGTTCATTTTCCGTCCAAAAAAATCTGTGTCCTCCTTCTCCCCATTTTGAGAGTCTCTATTTCTCATCTGCATCCTTAGGACTTCCCAGCTCTGACTGTACCTGGGCAGGTCAAGAGAGGACCTAAGCCACAAGGTAGAGATAAGAAAACACATCCAATTCAGAGAAGTACCAGTGGAGAGCTTCTTGAGCAAATAACTGACTAAACAAAGCTTGTAAGGCTTAGCGTGTCCTTAAATATTCTGTCCTTGACTCTTTTCATAAATATTGTTGCTTATCATTCCTAGGGTTATGTCCTCCCTATAGTATGTCCTCTTGCACTGGATTTCAGAAGGAAGAGTGTCCATTAAATAAGGTCAGGGTAGGTTGACTTAATATTGTGAGACAATGCCCAGTCATCTGCAGTAGCTCTAGCTTCTTTTTCTGGCTAAGAATTAAGTGTCTGTGTTAGAACAGAGTAGCATGGAGATGTGGAAAGAGAGGGAAAAAAAGCACAGAAGTGATGGATCAGCTAAGAAATTTTATATACTCAGAACAGCAATGGCAGTTCTATTTTTGAAGCATTCTGGGGTTAGGGCTTGCTATTTGTGGGGGAAAAAAACAATAAGCTATTAACAATAAGCTCCTTCCTCTTGCATCTCAGCCAAAAAAAGCACGGAGAATTTTAGCAATTTCTATAGCCTTCTATTGACTCTACGTTTAACATAATCTTAATTTTAATTCATGCATTGTAGACAGAAAATTAAAAGCTTTAATAATACAGCCATTAGCTCTTACGCTTTATTAAAACTATTTGCACACTCTTCGTTGCACTTGTGAGACCTTTCAACAATACAAAACACACTTCTGATACATAAAGGAGCAGAAACTCTCAGGGCAACAGAAGAATATTAGAACATATTTCAATGATGTAGGAAAGTACCTGGATAAAAATCCCCTTGCGCAAACATGTCAATCACATAGCGACAGAATGCATATTGATCTAACAGAGCAAAAAGAAAAAAAGAGTAATGAAGAAAGTAAATTTAAATGTTGCTTCTTTTTAACAGTGAAGATAAAGCTTGGCAGTGCAGAGACACATTTCAGGGATAGGCTTACTTGTACGTTTGGGGGTTTTTTTCCCAGCCTTCAAGTAATTCACATGTTCAGAAAGAGGCAATTTTTTGTCCAGATCTAATTCAAGCCTCCCAGCCAAGAACTTCAGAGCTACCAGTGCCCCAGAGCTACCAACTCTTCTTCTGGGTGGGCAAGACGCAGCGCCCAGCCTTGGTTTTGGCATACGGCCTCACCCCCCGCCCCAGTATGGGCTGCCTGGTCACTGGGCCCGAAGACTTTTCCTTATCCTTGAAGATCCATTTCAAATAGTCACAGCCAGGTGATAGAAAATTCAATAAAGTTTTATATCACAGTATTTTGTTAATATTGTTTTAACAGTATAATCAATATGTACATTTAGTGAATGGGAATATAAAGAGAACTCCGTGTACTTACAATCCTGCAGCAATGCGATTTTCCACAGAATTTTATCATTTCACTACAGAATTATTTTCCAAACACTAATCTTTACAAATATATATGTATATATTAAATCTGGATATTTAAAACTACGCTATTCAGAAATTAAGGCTTCTGAATCTAAATTAAACTCTGATTTCAGAAATGGTGATTGTCTATTGATTTCTGCTGTACATAAGCAGATTTGAAGACCTTAATAAAAATTTTTAACATTAAGAATGGTGAAGAAAAATTACCAGTTGTAACTGAGTGCAGAAGAATTGCAATAATATTGCTGGATTCTCCAGCTGGCCAAAAAAAGCATGTCGCCCCACTGGACTCTAAGGGACATTAGCTTTGAAAGTTAACTTTGATGGCTAAATGCCAACTCTGGTTAGCCAAATTAGTTCACAACAGTCCTTGAGTTAAGCATATTCATCCGTCTGTCCTAGACTGTTCTAGCACACTTCCTAGGCTGTCGGTGTTGCATCTGCCTCCACCTCCAGTTGCATCTCCCTCTTACTCACCTACAAAGCTACTTTCTCTTTGCCAACTTCAAAACAAAATCATGCAGCCTTCCGAATACTTAAAAATTTTAATAATGGCATAAGCATATTTAAATGCAAAATGACGGTCCCAAGTATATAACACTCATTTTATTGTTTGCTTTCTTAGGTAGTTCACTGGACCGTCAGTACTGGTTGATGCTGACACATTTATGTGATTGCTGCTCTGTTATGTTGACTGCTATAGAAGTCCTCAGCTGGAGAACTGCAGCTTTGAAGTCATGATTTCCTATGCAGTCGTAGAAATTAGGAAAGGGTTTACAATCTTGGCAAATATCCGATTGTTTCTGCTAGCCGACAGGAGCCCATGCAGCTATTTCCCGTTACTGAGATGGCGAGGTTAACACCAGTCAGTATTGTAGAACCTGGGGCAAAGCTTTCAGGTCGTACACAGGGATGTGGCTATAAACACTGCTTTTAAAACCTCTAATGACTATTCATAATAGTTTCTACTTTCATATTTAGGAATTCAAATTTATCATTCTGGCTGGCTGCAGCTTTGGATTCCATCCTTAAGGAACCTGAAGAATTTGGCTGCAATATCTGCCCTAAATCTATGTGCTAATTTTCTGAAAAAAGTAGCGGCGAATGTGTCAGAAAACAAGTATGTACAAATCTGTACTCTCAGTAAGCCCATCTAAAGCCACTGAAGTCGGCAAAGTGTTTGCACTGACTTCAAGGCACTTGCAAATCGGGCCTCAGTGAGTCAGTCTGTATTAATAATTAAAATGGACCAATGCCAAGTCTTTAGCCCAGAAAAAGCAAATGGGAGGGCACAGCTCCTGCCCACAAAGCTGAGTTCTCCTTACCCCTCTTTTGCCAAAACAAACTGCCTTCATCCATGCTGCCCATTGGGAAGAGCCCCTGGATGGTTTGGGGGCATTGTATGGAAGACCGCTAGAAGGCATGGGACAAAACTATGTCAGGGGACACAAGCTGTATGGACAGTCACAGGACAGAGCACAATCATACGCTGGTTCTATTTAGCTTATGATATAGACATAGCCTGAGGGCTTAGCAGCTACACCATTTCCTTGATATTAAAATAATCCATTTTTTAAACATAGTGATATAGACCAGGATTAAAATAGACTCTGGGTGTTTGGGTGGGGGTTTTTTTTGGCTGGTTCTTGGGTTTTGGTTTTTTTGTTTGTTTGGTGGGTTAGGGGGTTTTTTTTGTGGAAATGTAACTTGAATAAACTTTAAAAAAAAAGCTTTAATCTTGATTGTACCTGAGAAGAAAGATTTTGTATTAATCTTCTCATAGGAGTTCTTTAGTAACTCAACCCCTGAAAACTGGGATTTATATAAAAAACTGAAGGCAGAATGTTAAACTCTGAATAACAAAAATAGCATTTCTACTGTATAGGAAATAATAAGGTGCACAGTAACATCCCATTGAAGTTCATGGGAATTCTGCCAATCAGCAAAGATTGAAACCTAAGGAATTTTAATGAATCTGATTTTTCAAATGTCTCTTCATGGCTAAAAATTCATTTTAATTTAAACTCTCCTGTTGAAAAGAAAATTTCACACTATAGTTTTCACCTTATAACTCTGTAACAGTGGCACAGATATTAATCTGAGTACTACAAAATTTTGTCAAAGTTTGGGACTAGATTCTTATTGATAAAAACAGTCATAGATATTTCTGTCATTGATCTCATCTGAGTTACCCTAGGAGATGACCTATCTTTTCTAATTTGAATTGAGTAAGGAATGATGCAACAGCAGGGACATCATAACAACCGTTCTGTGATTACTGTTATATTTTTCACATTGTTGCAGAAAAAAATGGCAGAAAAACTCCCTTGAGCAAGGAAAAATAAAAAAATTGCGGGATCAGGAAATCTTGGCAAAACCGTATTGACTTCAAAACCATGTTCACCTTGGGTCACAGTGGGACTGAAAGATAGAATTGAAATTTTCTGCGAGCATCCAGCTGGGCAGCAGCGGCTTCCAGTGGAAAAAAGGAAGGATGGAAGTAGAAAAGGCAGCTTGTGCTGAACGTGTGCAACGCTATCTCCAGTGATAAGGGCAGTTTAAGAGGCTCCTTCCTTCCTCCACTCCAGCTGCTCATTCCCACTTTCACCTGCCACGGTTCAGTGCACCGTCACCGCGGTCACTCTCTAAAGCAGCCTTACAAAGCGGTCTGTTAAGGTTTGATGTTAAGATGGATCATTTTGCTAATATTTATCAGTTAAAGGGAGGAAAATTCAACCACAAAACCCCCCCAAACAACCTCCCCCACCACTCTCTATTGCTCTCTGTAATCTTTGACCCCTACTTACTTAAAATAATTTGCTGTCAGGGAGTAAAGTGCCTCATCTGCACTCCATTGCTTTTTGAGAGCCTTATCCTGAACTTACTGCACACGGAAACTCTGTCAGAGCAAACAAAAACTGAAAGAGGTTCGCACCTCCCAAGAGGAGCTCAACAATTTGCTGAACTTTCCCCTTGGTCACAGCAATCGGCATGAAAGATGCTGCTTTGGTTTTATGCCTCAAAGGTTTCAATATTTCAAGTAAAATCCAAAATTAACTAGAATACAAATAAATGTTAAAAAATGCTAGTTCAGCACACAATGCAGGGCAGAAAGGGGGCTATGTCTCTAAATCTCTCAGATTTCTAGAAAAGTATGATTTAGGCAACTCCTACAGGGTCCAGAGCTGATGGTTATGAAATTCTGAGACAATCTGCCCATCCAGGCAGGGATGGCTGCTTTGATGCTCAGGCGTAACGATTTGTCTGTGGCGATCAGCTGAAAGGATCAGAGAGGTGTGCCACGCAGCGCTGAGCCGCCTCTATTAACGTCAGAATAATCCTGTGCCTGCAGAGTGGCAGTTTGCACAGAAAGCCAGGTCCTGCTGCCTTCAGTCAGCCAAAATCGTACCTAACGCTATGGAAAACACGGGGAAATTAGGGAACCAGCCAGTGCATCTTGGGGGTGGAAGAACCCCGGCTGGCTCTGACAAAGAGGAACGTACAGTTAACATCTCCGTTTGGTGTTGAGGCATGTTGATTCTTTGTTTTATTACTTAATTGCTTCCTTTCATCAGGGTAATGGCATTTCCTGCCTTTTTAGGAGAAATGTGGAAGCTGTTCACATCAAATGACATCAGGCAGGTATATCACTATGTCATACAAACCCTGACAACCTCATATAATCCGATGTAAGACAAATGATTCCCTTTCCTATGCTCCTACTTTCCTTATTGTTGTGGAGGACAAACACAGATGTAGAAACAAAACAGATTTCCCAACAGGTCAATGGACAGTCTGTATTTTCCAAAATAACTCTGCTAGCAATACGCTACATAAGATGCTACTGAGCAAATCCATGAAAACTCAGGCCTATCTGGAGAGAAATTGGTCCTTGGTAAAGAAGGATTTAAACTAAAATGAATCTTTAGCCATGACAAACAGTCTGGTTATGTAGATTAAACTTATTTTATTCTCGAGAGTCTCCTCCTAGCAGTGTGAGATTCATCTGGAATTTATTTGTACTGCGCTTTCATTTTTCATGGGTGGACTTTGGTCCTTGCCAGCTTTAACTCCATTCTCTCTGCTTCTTCCCTACTACCTTTTTAAGATCTTCATCTGTTTCCTCCTGGTTTTGTTTACCTTTCTTTTCCGATTTAGTTACAGTCTGAAGAGCTTTCTCCTCCTTAACTTTTGGTTTGGCTTTTATTAGCCCAACTTCTGTTGTTTTAGTGTCTGCTTGCTTGACCTTCTCAGCCGTCTTTGCTTCTCCTTTTCCATCCTTCACTTCCTTTTTAACTTTTACTTCCACTTTAGTGCTCTTTACTTTCTTCTCCTCTGCAGGTAACAAAGAAAAAGCTTTCAGTGTCATTCTTCCCCCCCCAAATAATACTCAATGCTATTTATTTTATCTTGTGCTATTACTAATGAGTATTTCTTCGTTATTAACACCTTGTTCAGAGCTGATGAAAACTACAATCCCCCAAAACCAGACAGACTTCGACAGAAATATGAGATGCAAGCATGTTTTGTCTTCAGTCCTGTACCAAGTATGTGACTGATACTAAATGTAGTAGGCTATGGCAAATAATATTAAATGTTTCTAATGACAATGTGGTAACTTTTATGGTATAAACTAGGCAGACAAATGGTCATTAAGCAAACAAATATGGAAGGTACTTCCAGGCTAAATTTGAGTAACTTTAGACTGTAGAGATCAGAGCTAAACTCTGTTGGAAGCTGTAAAAGTAGTCGATTTAAAGTGTGGCTATTTGTAAGAGTCGCTCTTATGCACTGATTCGAGGTCTCTGCCCAAGAAGTCTCAAGTTCTTGAGTCTCCCTCTACACCAATTCCCCAGGCTGAAAGACTCGTCTGAGACAGGCTAATTCATGACGAACCCTGCAGCAGAGTGAGAAGGTTTCCAAGGAGAATTACCAAATTGTAAATACCAGTGGCTGAAGCTACACAGAGGTTGATAAGACCAGGGGTATTCCTTCTGCTTGTATGTATCAGCAGCTTTTTTGCATCTGCAACATGGATGCTGACAATATGTGTGTTTCTAGTTCACTGTGGTGGAAAATCCAACAGTAGTTTAAAATGCCACTGACTTGGATTAAACTACTCTGTTTAGTGTGTTGTTCTCACTCCTGCTTTCTTCATAGCTTTAGCTGTCTCCATCCTTGAGGCAAAACTTGTATACTACAAAATCTGTGTCTTCTGTAAGGCTCTAGACTTCTATTTCTATTAAGCCACTGGGCTGACTAGGCTGATTTTATCAATATGTAAACTGAATATTTCTACCTATTCTAAACCAGAGTACAGATATTTATATAAGGGCACTCCTACCTCCAAACAAAGCCATGGCATGACCAAATATTGCTGCCTAGCAAAGAAAGAATTTCCTTAACTAGTTATAGTGAAAATGTGTGTTTCAGATCACTTACATATAGGCCTACTTCTTTTTCAGGGAAACAGTGGTTCATACCTTCAATACTTACCTTTGAAATTTCAACAGGTTTTAAAAGGGATCATGCACAGAACTAACTCCTGAATGTTCTAGAGACATTTTAATTCAAATTATATTTTAATTTCATTATAGTATCATGTAGCTGATTTTCATACACATTATATTCTCAGCTCCAGTAAAACAGAGTTTATGAATTTTAATGTAAATTCTGGTTAAAAATGTAGTATAAATAAATAAATACCTTTGGGAGGAGGTTTCTTTTCAGCTTTTTCATGTCTTTCAGGTTTGTCTTTTTGAATTACTAGAAATGAGTACAATTGTATATTAGGGAAAAAAAACTCACAAAGAATGAGAAAATATTGCTACAATACAACAACATCCCTGGAAGTTTCACATTTCTTCAGGATTCCTGTTTATTTAGTTTGCAAAATTCTTGCTTCTTTTTTCTCAGGTTTACATGCTGGGGTAAAAATCTTCAAAATACCTGTTGAGACTGACCTAACCAGAAGACAAGGCAGCCACACAGATCTGAAGCTCGATAAGGAATATCAATACCGCGTATTCCAGATGACACCAACTTGCTCAGCTCAAGCTCTGAGCGGACACAGGCTTGATCTTCCTGTGCTCCAGCCAACTGGAAGCCACGCGGCTACATTTTTCTTACAGAAAGGTGTTTTTCTTAGCTTGGCTCACTGTAGTACAAACACAGGCACAAGCCTGGTGCTTACTTCAGAGACCAGCTCAAGTGAGTTCATGCCTGCACAGGTTACGCCGTGCAAACACCCACTGCTACAGCTCAGAAAGGCTGTCAACATTTTATGCGGCGACTTCTATCTTTCCTCTCTTGGTCGCCATCCAGACACATTGCCGGGACAAAACAGCCTTGAGAGTTAATTGCACTTCTTTCAGGTGATAACTACATAATAGCAACCTCCTCTCTATCTGAATTCCAGCCTGGAACTGCTGCCTGTATGAGCCATGATTGATCTTTAGACTTGTTTTTCTTAAGATAGCTGTTTCTTAGATGACGTGTTTAAATAGCGTTCATATCACTGAGGCTTTCTGGAGCCTTTAACAGGGACTGAAGAACTCCCCTAAGGCTTTTTATTGAGCGTAGAGAAAACTTGCCGACTGGGGGGGCAGTAGCCACCCCATTTTCCTTACGCCCGTTCCCAGAAGTTGGCCTGGCCCTGAGCACCCTCGTTTCCTAGGGACTGCAAAAGTGGGTGAAATGGCCCCTCACCCAGCGTAGAGCAGCCCCCAGTCAAAAGGGAGGCGATCCCGGCGATGGATAGCTCAGCAGCAGAATGCCGGCAGAAATGCGCCGTTGGAAGCGCTGACGAAGGGCAAGGAGTTCCCAGTGCACCCATAAGGACTGGCACGGCATGGAAATTATTCGAGAGAGGGTAGCATGGCTATATGTCACACCACAGCAACAAATCTCCCTAGCTACAAAGTGGCCAAGTTCTTCATAAAATTTTCCAGCCAGTGACTGGCGTCATGGCTGCTATTAAACACATTAAAGCTCTAAGTGATTATTTGGTTAGCTAGCGGAAGATAAATGGGTAAACAGGCTGGCTGCTCATTAGGACTATCTCAGTGATTCTTGGAAGTTATTTGCTTTTCAAATCTACACAGACACTACGGGCATTTATTTTCTCTGGATTACTTCAGTGTGATTTCACTTTATTAAAAAAGTCCTACACTCCAAAGTTACGTACTGGAAGTAGAAAAAATGACCAAATATCCCTTTAAAAGAGAGACTGGACAATGGCAACCTTCCAAAGTCTTTTAAGGCTTAAAGTCTTCATTCCACTTTTTCTCTTTCTTCACTCCTACTTTCTGTTTTACGTTTCTCCTTAGAGTAAGGTCGAGTCTGATAAAGACTGATTTGTACACATGAATCTATATTGTCTGAACAGTTTCAAATTAAACCTAATTAATTCATGCATCCCATCATCATGAGATTAATCTGAATGCCATAACAGACTGAAATTAAGATACACTGCATAGTATTTTTTTCAAGACTTAACTGAGTAAAAGTAAGAAGACTGAAACCTAACTTCATTATAGAAATATCTGGCTTCTGAAAAGCAATGAATGTTAAAAAAAAAGAAAGAAAGAAAAACCTCAGAGCAAAAATATTCAAATGCCCAGCAATAATAAATGTTAGTCTTTAAAAAACGGCATAACAGGGCAAGCTGATTGGATTTTTAAATCCCCCTGTCCAAATCATGGCTAAAGATGGAATTATCACTCAAAAGAATACTGAAAATCACCTCTCATGCACGATATTGCTTCAGGATATATATGATAATTAGTAGATATGTAAATCTTAACCAAAGCCACTTCTGCCATGGAGGACAGTACAAATCACGTACTGAAATGAAAATGTTATTGCAAAAAAAGAAAGGCAAGAAAATTAAAATCTATTTTTGGATATGATGGAAGACCGAGACTGAGAGACAGTAAACACTCTTGCATTAGGTCTGCACCAGATTGAAAACTGATACGCAAGAGAAAGCCTTCTTTGCAGGCAAATTACTGAATCCCATTGTGGAGGAAAAAACATCAAGGAATGCAAATATAATAGTCGTAGGCTTATTTCTTTAGCTGCACAAGAATGGTTCATAATTACCTCTGTGCATCCAAACAAGAGAACTAAGCAAGAAATATATGCTGAGCAAGACTTCACTCAGGGGCTGATCAAGACCCGCTCAAGCAAAACTGAGAGCACCCAAAAAATGTACAGCATGGACTAGAAGAGCTTTACACTTTAAATACTCATCTCCACACTCTCCCAAACTGTGTAAGCACTGAAAATCTAAAATTGTACAACATCTAATAGTAATCCACATTACCTTTAGAAGGTGCTTTCTTTTCATGCTTTTCTGGCTTTTCAGGTTTCTCTTTGTGAGTAGCTAGAAATATATAACAACATTAATGGTTACTAAAAAAAAAAAAAGAGAAAAGTTGCGTTTTAAGTGAAGAAAAGGAGAAAAAAGATCAAGAAACACAACTAGGCACCATGGCTGTCCATGCAAAGACGCAGATTGATTCAGCTGCTGCTGTTTATGCCAAAACACATGATCCAAACTTTCAGAAACTCATCTACCATCCCTGAGGTCTCTGCCATCAGCTGGGGGAGGAATGGTCTTTCTGGCACAGCTGTAATCCCATGAAAGAAGTTAGCCAAGAAGTCATGCTTATTTGTGTTATTTACTGGTTCATTTTGTTTGTTTTGTTTATACTGTTGTTTATTGGTTTATTTTTGTTTATTGTTATTTTGGAGCTTTCTTGTTTATTACTTTGGTTCATTTCTGAAGGATTTTCTGAACTCCACATAACTAACAGTTTTTCCAGCTACGAATGATTAAACACTATAATTAATTACAAATCTAATTGCAATGGCATTATAACTAATGCTCTTTGGGGCTTTTTGTTTGCTTTTAATTTCCACTTCACAAATTGAAATAAAGTACACTGTAGTGACTGGATTTCTGGCTCAGGTTTCAGAATACACCTGAGCTGTGCAATAGTCACTGAGTGGTGGGTAGTCTGGAATATTCTCCTGTGTGGGCTCCGATTTGCTGATTTTTTGCGATTAATGTTTACACCGTAAGTTGTCCAGGGGTGTGCAGAACTGGTATTTATATGGGTCCATACCCCCTGAGGTCCCCTACAGGGACCAGTCGTGTGAAAACACTCAGCTGCCTATTTGACTCTGACATATGAGTTTATACTAAGAACACAAAAATCCATGCATGAGCATTGCTATGTACTCTCCAGCCATGTGTTGGTCTTTCAAAAGAAAGTAAGAATTGTGGAGGATAAAGCAGTGCTAGATACCTATCTATTGCAAGTAACTACTTAAAGAAGTAGTCCTGCCCTATTCTGTATTGTATTTAAAATGTTATTTTTTCACATGGCTTGCCTCATTACTGTTGTTTACAGGTTGCCAGGTGTTTTTCCTGGATGACCATATTGTCTTAGGAACCATACTTACTGTGAGTGTTGGAAATACTCAGACATTACTAGGAGATTATGCTAATCCAGAGTATAAAATATGTTATCTCCCTTCCTCAGAAAAGAAACAACAAACTTGCAGAAGGAATACAAAATGCTACTCAGTCTGTATGTCTGCAAATCTTTATATGATCTCATGATTTTTATTCATAAAGTTCTACAACATTTTTCTCCAATAAAGGGGATACATAAATGGAAATCGAGTAGACAATTAATCTGGGGGTACCTCAAAACGTAATAAGTGCTGACATTAAATCATTACCTGCATGCCTTTCCTTTTTTTCAGGTTTTTCTTGTCTTTCCAGTTTGTCTTTATGTGTCACTAGGAAAGAAGAAATGTGTTCATATATATGAAAAAAAAACCTGCGGAAAAACTCAAGAATCAAAAATAGTTCTGCCAAGATAAGCTTTGGGAGACAAAATGGCAAACTGTGTTACTCCGGAGCTATCCTGTGCACATCTGCACAGCATCCATCACACTACGTGGGTGCGAGCAGACAACTCTGGCAAACAAATCACTGCTTACCATCCGAGCCATGGTAACATGACTCAGCTGTTTACTACAGAAACATCATCGCCTGCGATTGTCTGTCCATTCCTGAAGAGAGATTTTTCAGAAAACTGTCAGGGACTGAGGCAGAGCTCGCAGTAAGTGCTGCTGCCTGCACTAAAAAGAGGACATCACCTGGACCACCCTGCGCTTGGTCAGGCAGAGGCTTGTAAAAAACCTGGAATCAATCCTGGAGCATAATAGCATCACATGCACAAATGACACATCAGTCACTTGCCAGCTGGCTTGAAATGGATAACCCGTAATGGATCCGGATAGCTAGTAATGGACACTAGCTGAGATCCATCCCTGGCAATGATGATCTCAGAGCCATAATTAGATGCCCAGTATGTGCGGTGTAAAAACTAACATTATGACAGTGGAAACCGTATTATGCTATCCACTCATTCCCATAACATTTCCCACTCACTTTTCTTAGGATTTTACGCAATAATTTTCCAGGCAATGGGAAATAAACATGTGACTTTAAGAGCACTACAGAAAAATCAGCCACGAGACTGCAAACTAGCTTTAACTCCAACTTCTGCAGAGATTTTATCCCAGTTTAGTAAAACTCCCTTTGTCAAACATGAGAAAATAAGAAAGTTCTTTTACAGTACTGTGAATTCCATATCTAACTGGAAGCAAAAGAGGGGTAGGGAATATTCAGGCGCTCACATTTTTTTAGCAATATAGTGATGAAACACATGAGAATAAGTTCCTGACATAGCTGACTGAGTGACTTCTAAGTGACTGAGACAGTTCTAATTATTCTCTCTGTCATTAGATAACTTTCCTAAACTATATCACAGAAGTTGATTAGAAATTAGAATAGGATGTTATTTACTCTCTCCGTTATCTAAATCTTGAAAACAGAATGTATTTAAAGTAGAAAATAAGCAGTTAGAATTCAGGGATGCAGTGAAACTTTGGAGTCTCCCAGTCACACTACAATGAAATGGGCCTTAGAAAGACACGTATCCATAGTAATAGTTTTAAAATATAATGTACAGTCTGAAAGCAATGTTTCTTAGTACTGCGAATACAAAGAAACTCTATACGCAGTATTGCTTTAGTAGCAATTGTAGCAATAGTTCACTAAACAAAACTAAGTAATACATTCAATTTAAGATAAAATACCGTTAGGTAGACATAATATTAGCAGGAGTTATGAGAAGTTAAGGCAATATAATATAATTCTTATTCTTATTCACTGGCTGTCTGAGATTGGCTGGGATCATTTTTTCCTGTTCTAAGAAACTTTTTAAAACATTAAATATTGTTCTTCTATAAAATCAAATTGAAGAGTTTCCCAAGTTTTCAACAAAATAACAGGACAAGTCTTAATGACACATTCATGTTTTAATATGGGACATTATAGTCTTTGCTCTGGCATTTTTCCAGATCTCAGCAGAAATTTCTCTTGTTACCACCATTTTCTAGTAATAAATATTCATTCTGACAGAAACCTGAACTTATGTGTCTGCCATTAACCTCTAGAGTCAGTCTTGCTAACCAAATGTGTTTTGAATTATTTATATAAAAAGGAAAAGCTCCAATCTGAGACCATTAGAAAGGCCTAGTCAAGCACAGATTTCAGGAAGGTGCACGTTCACTTGGGTTGTGAGGCTTGTGTTCTTGGTCTGAAATCAATCAGCCGTGGCTGGATATTGGGTCTTGCCTTTTTTGGGTGATTTGTTATGACCATTGGCCTATCTGCTCTTCCAGAATGGGTTTCTTCCTCCAGCTTGAGACTTCATTAATCTTATTTTTCTGTAAAGGACATGTTCTCAGAACGCTTAAAGAGTTTTGACAAGTAGGTACGTTCCAGCAAAATTCTGTTTTGCCAAAAATTCCCTCAGAAGAGGCAAACTAGATGGTGGCTCTTGGAGCCCAGAACTAACTCGTGAGTTGTGGGTGGAGAGGAAGCAGTAGACTGATTCTGACTCCTACAACAGACGGATCTGTAATTTGTTGTTGGCATACACCAACAGCAAATTAGTAAATCCTCTCTAACACCCTCTCCATCACCCTCTCCCTAACATCTCTGAAATGAGTTTAGGGAAATTTTTTTCGAAGGCGGGTCTCTGAAGCAGAATGCCTCCAGGGACCATGCCCTGTATGTTATAATTTACTCATTACATTTTGTTCAGAAGTATTCCCAAAGACAAATATTATGCTTGGATTTATTCAAGAAGAATAAAAAAGGCACCTATTTATGCTCTGGGCATCTTTTACATAAGTTAATAATACAGTAAAAACTTACTCATTAATCTCTGAATATAATTTTAGCCTTTCTGCAGAGTGATGAATTCAAAGTGCTTTTAAAATCCTCATTCTCCTTCCAGCTGGCTTTCACAACACCTGCTCCATCCTTAAACATAATTGGGTCTAAAAGTCAATAGATTAGACTGTTTTGAACCACTGGTAAAAAGACAAACACCAAATGCTAAATACATACCCTTTAGGGGTTCCTTCCTCTCAATTTTTTCTTGTTTTTCAGGTTTGTCTCTGTGAATTACTAGAAATAATAGAAAAAATCCACAATAAATCTGTAATCTGGAGGTATTATGTACACATACTATTTCACCAAAGTGATCAAGGAAAAATATTTGTAAATTTAAATAATGGATTTTAGCTCTGAGTCACAGGTACTAGATGATATATAGACCTTCTTAATGGCAATATTTAATTCCACGCCCAAGAGAGATATTTTTCCTTGAATAAGTCTGCAGATGATAAAGCATATTTTTGCAAAATAAGTGATTATTCAGCAAGCTTAATCTAATCTGCGGGATCTCTTTTGGTCCCATTACACAAGCACCCTGACTCTAAGATTTCTGACAGAGGAAATTATTTTCAGTCCTTGACAGCATTGCTTTCTATTCTTAACAAAAAATCACTACCATATTGCTTTCCATGCTCTTTTATTTTATTTTATTTTTAGCTGTTACTTCAGCCACGAGATGGATTAACAAGAAAACATCTCTTTTAATCAGACCGTAACTTCAGGAAGAGCAGCTGTTCAAACCACAACTGACGACACGTCCTGCTAGAAGCAGGCAAACACGAATCCTTACAGACTCTATTGCCCACCCGACTTTCAGACCACGTTTTTGGACAGGATTGTATTCCACATCCTAATGATTTAGACAGACAAAAGTGGTCCTCGGCAACCTCTGCTACTAAAAGACTAGCGTTTTGCAATTTCAGGGAAAAAAATACTTTCTTTGCAATACTCAAGTTTCTGTCAACAAGTAAACCACAGAAAATACAACTCTGATTAGAAGGCAACTGTGAGCTTTATACACAAGCACAGTAATGTTTTTGCGTACATTCATTTCACCAGCTTTGCGGCAAATGTCATTTCACAGAGGTGCAAGCATTCTTTTGTTGGTTAAACATTTCCTCATTAAAAAACAGGTCCAAGTCTTTATGAAAAATCATTCCAAACATTCAGAAGTTTCATTATGTCTTGCACGTGTTTGCATTATCCAAATACATTTCCAGTCATAACAGGTAAATTATAGTTGATAACAATTAGCAGCACAGTGGAAGGAGATTGAAGGGAGATTTTTCAAAGCCTTTACGGAATGCGGACAGCCAATTTACACTAAAAAAACAGGCTGCGAAGAACGCAGCAGCACCAGCGATGTATTACTGAATGAATTACAGACTGTAACTCATTCAATTGCTTTAGGACATCTAGTAGCACACCAAGGAAAAGCAGTCTCCTCTCTCCCTGTGCTGTGTAGAACTTAGACTGAATATTTTTGCCGAAACTGTAGCATGCTTTTACATCTTACATTTGTATTAGCAGGTGCTAGCTCTGTGCAAAACACTTCGAGCCAGCGGGTTGTCAGCGTTGGATGGGGCAATAGCACAGTTTTGCAAACAATAGCTCTGTGATGGTCAATGGCAGTGAAACATAAGCTTCTGCATATCAGACAAAAGCCCTTGTAGTCCCTATGCCAAAATATATAGTTGAACTATGCAGAACAGTCAGAAAGCTTGTTTTTAGCCACAGAACGTCTTACTTGTGTAAGGAAGACTGTTGTGGTTTTTTTTTTTATTATTTGTTTGTTTGTTTTAATTTATTCTAGTTTCTCCATAGCATTTCCCTATTTCATGCTTTGGAAAAAAACCCAAAACTAGCCTTGAATTACACTGACTGAATTGAGTGTCGGCAGACCTTGAAGTGGACAGAAAAATCTAATTTACGGTTCCTTCACATCATCAAAATGGTATAAAGGGCTAAAAGGCAAGGAAAAATTAATATTCATGTGGACCCAAGCTAAAAACATGGAGAAGGGATCAGTTGGCTCCTTCTTGAGAAATAAAAGTAACTTGAAGTATCTGGGCAGGGAGCCTGGAATGTGGATAAGCAGAGACCAGGCTGGCATGAGCCTAAGCTATTTTTCTCTTCCCAGCGATAGGCTGAAGGCGATCTCTGGTTAGTTCAAGAGCCCTGCCCTGTGCCTTGATATCCCCACAGCCTCAGGGCTTGCTAATCTCAGGTTGTAACGTTTACCATTCCCTCTTGTGGGCACTGTCAGAGCTATGGCTTTTGGGTAGAACCTTATCCAGGAAGGGCAGGTGTTGCCAAAAATTAAAGGGTTCATGTTTCAGGGCTGTGATGACTGGCCATTTTTGACTCTTCAGTCACAGAGCAGCAGGGCCACCAAAGTCCACTGACGCTTTTGAGCTGACAACTTAAATATGATTTTTCTTTTGCATCTTAACTCTGTTTTTTTCCCTCCCTGAAATGTTTTCCTGTTCAGCCTCATTATATAGTCCTAAGAGCTCTGTCAAGAAAATACATCACTGTCTACAGACCTTTTCCAGATTTAGTCACTTGGCTATATATTCCTTTGTAAAGGGCTTAATATCTGCCCTTTTTCAAGCCCGCAGCACTTAGTTGCAAGCATTAGGTTTTAGAAATAAGCCAGGCTGGCCATACTGCCATGTTTCTGTGAAACAAATTAGAGTTAATAAGATTTTCTTTTGCATATAAAAAAACAAAGAGAAAGCACATAAAAATGTTTTTAAGGCTGCTAAGTCTAGTACTCTTCAGCTGAAAAATGCTGGAGCTAAACCTGCTCATTTAACTATAATTCAACAATTTTATTTGCTTTATGACACACTTTGTAATTAAAAGATCACCTCTTTTCTTTTTTTAATAGGATGCTGGAGTCATCCAGAAAAAATAAGAAGAATAACTAAAACTAGTTTTACGACAATTGTGCAAGCTAAAATTTTCCCATAACTTAAAGAAATTTCCTTGGACTTCCTTGCAAATACCAAAAAAGCATAAGCTCAGAATGAACTGCTATTACCATTGGAAAAAATATAACACCCCAACCTAATTTTCACTAACCTAGATTTTGGAAATTGCTGAAACATTTTTATATGACTTTGAATGAAAATTCAGCCTGAGGCAAAAAGATGAGCATTAAAAATTTCGTCCTCAGTGACTGAAGTGTGTTAAATTTATAAATAATATAAAATAGGAGCTTATAATGGAAAATTTTAAGGTAATTTAACAATGCATTCCAAACTTAATCATATAAGACTATTCCTATCTACTTCACATAAAATTAAAAAGAAGCATAGCACATAGGTGAGAGGTTTTTCCATATTTCAATCATCTAATAGTATATTTGATTTGCATCAAGTGGAAGACATAGTGAAGAGGGAGGTGATTTAGTTTTTCTTCATTAAAGCGTTTGAGACAGGGACATTCACCACCCCAAAAAAGCAAGTGCCAAAAGAAGAGATGTAATAAGGAGTCACTAATTCCATACCTAAGGGAAGTAAAAATAGTTTCCAGCTGAGTAAGTCTTAAGTCTGCTGCTTAGTATAAAGCTAGGTGATGAGTGCAGTAAGCATGAAGCAGAGATTGCTTGCTCCAGCTAACTGACTAAGTGCTTGTCTACAGGGCAACACTCAGGAAAGTTAAGATAAATGAACTAATACAATGAACTTAGAGTGCATTAGTCAGAGAGCGTTAAACCTCTGTGTAGATGCTTTTATTCAGAAGTAAAGTAACCTGAGACAGCTATAACTTAATTCTTCTTGAAGGACCCCACAAAAAAAAAAAAAAAAAGGAAAGGGCTTGATATGGAGAGGGGCACAGGCTTCCAGGTCCAAAACAATCAGTCAGACAGCGTTACATCTGTCTGAACTGAGACTTAGGTTTGACAGCTACTGGTGGTAGTCAAACTGCCCACAGCATTGGCTTTACCCGAGGCTGCTGTAAGCCCATATGGCTAAATAAATACTTGGCAGCTGTACCTGAGCCACTACAGCTACGTTGCTATCTGCACCATGTTACCTAATTTAAAGTTAACTCAGGTGTATCTGTAGCTATACCTCCAGAAATCAGGGTAGATAGCCCCTGTGTCAAACATAAATACGCCATTTAACTTGCTAATTTTGTCAATTCATGTGGGTTTCTAGTGTACTGTGCATTTGTATGGTCCAGCTGTATTTATCTATTTAGATGTCTTAAATACCTTGACTTCCAGCTACAGCAATTTAAATTATGGGGCCACATTACAACTGTCTTTATTATCTCATAATTTATCTGTATGCTCAAATACAGACAGCTTTATTCTGTGATGTTTAATATTTGCATTATCAGTACGGCCCTATTAATGAGTCAATAGGAGTAGGAGGGATAGATATGTGCTATGCATAGTAAATGAAATAGTTTTGTAGGGCCTGGAATCTATTTGTCAAATCAGGCTGAATTCAGAGATACTTTCTACAAAAAAACCAGAGAGACTAGTGTTGTTTCAGAGGCACACAAGTATCTGTCGTAAAATCACGGTGATTAAATGTATGGCTGTCAGAGGTAGCATTTCATCATCCCATTGTCTTCTTCCATCCCTCACTCCAACAGCAACGTGTAAGTGAAGTGTATTTGGGAAAAGCCACACAGTAGATCAACCTTTTCCCATTCCTTCTCAGTGCCTGTTGTAACAAGAGATATTTCCCAGAAATGCAGGATAATTCAGTTCACTGCTAATATCAGTTTTCCATAAAAATCAGAAATGATCAGTCCATTTGGATTATCATTGGACTTTCCATCAGACAGAAATTATACACTTATAGTTTTATCTTGATATATTTTATCATTGTTCTTCCCTGTTGCCAAAGTATTGCGTAGTTCTCTCTTATTCGTTGATAGTAATAACAATTACAACACCTACGTCTGGAACAGGCTGAGACAGCCCCATCCCTCAACGCTTCCCCTCAGGACAACCGCTCCAGCCCTGACCGTTGCAGTGGTCCCACCCTGAACTTGCCCCAGTTTATGGATGTCTTTCTTGAACTGGGAGGCCCAGAACTGGATGCAGTATCTAGATGTGTGTCATGAGAGCTAAGATTAATTATCCCCTTACCTCCACCGACCGGCCGAGCTCCTGCTCATACAGTCCAGGGTGCCCTCAGCCCTTGTGAAAGTACTAATACATCAAATACCAAATTGGAAAGACCCTATTTTGTAGTGAATTTGTGCTTATGTGTACATGTAATCATGAAATAATTGAATTTCAGTGCTCTTAAGCATGAGCAAATGCTTTGTTGAATCATTCCTGAGAGTATTTCTTCTTTTCAGGATTAAATTGACTAAGTACTATAATTGAAATGAACTTTATTACTAGTAGTTTATCAAAATATTTAATTAAAACAAAATTCTAGGGCACAAGTTTGCCTGGCTCTTAATACTCTAAGAATCTTTCTTATAATTTCAGCCACTTCCATCTGGGATTTCCATTCATTATATCTGTTCCTCATATTGTGGTAGAATCTTTTCAAAAAGAGGCTTAGGAATGGAACTCCCTTGCAAATCTTGGGACTTGGATTCAGGGGGTTTGACTATTTAAAAATAAAATTATTTTTAAAACCCCAGTGTCCCCATATTTTTGGGTGGAGGACTGAAATTTGTTTGAGGTGTTTGCTTCTGTCAAAAACATTCATTTTACCTCTAGATTTTTCCTGTTAAAAAACAGCAAAAGATTATATTTACACACACTTCCTGGAGGTACTTTAGAAGGTAACAGTAAAACTCCCTAAAGATTCATGCCTTTATCATGCTCTAGCTTGAGGTCTGACAGAATGTTTTCTTGTAATTGTTCCTCCTATGTACAAGATGCATTTTTGGGACTAAATATGAAAACAAAAAATAGAAAAAAACTATTTGCCCTGTGCTTCAGGAAGTGATTGTATAATTAAAGCCTGCTTTATCAGGCATATGAATAAAGGGACTTAACTAATGACACCTGAATTCTTTTTTCCTGGCATCCTATAACTTCTTAGTAATCGTTTCTGCAACGTTAATGTTCTTCCATGTAAAGCAATGCACTTCTGTATGGATGAAGTGGTTCACAAGAGGCTGTTTTGTTCAAGGCTGCAACTTCATTTGTGTTTTTAGAATGCTGTGCTTGAAAAGACCTTAACTGGGATCCCTTGCTGATGGATCTGAGTTCATTATTGCCTCGCTAGCCCACCGATACACTAAAAAATTCATTTTCATACAACATGATCTATTAAGTAGTTGGGAAGCAGTTCTAGGCACTCCAGATGACCCTGATTAGCACAGAACTGGAAAGCTAGCACTAGAGGTGTAAAATACTATAAAAGCATATAAAGAATATATACAGAAGTGAATATAATTGCGTGAGGGAGGGTGTATGTATATACACACTATTTTTTAATAAGCTTCCTTCTTACTTCCTCCTGCCATTACTAAGCACAGCACTGGTGCATCAGAGAGATGCTCATCAAATTTTATGTGGCCTAACCTTTACAGAGGCTTTCTTAGGCAAAAAATCTGCACATATCCCAGGAAACTTCTTTATTTACATGACCTCTGAAAACCAGTCCAAACCAGTTCCTCTGTGGGTTTTTGGAAAGTGCCAGTTAGAGGAGATTAAACAGTCTGAAAAAGAGTAGGTTCTTAAAATGGAGGCTTTTCTTATCTCTGATACACACCTGGCTCACTGTTAACTACGACTTCCTAACTTGGATGGCACCCACTGGCCTATAAATTGGCTTTCTTCCTTGCCCAACACACTTCACGCCTTTTGCACCAGAGGAAGCTCATCAGCACTCTACTTTCTTGCACCTTTGCTACAAAAAAGATTTCCAGATAAGTTTGAGCAGGAAAATCTTATTATGAATGTGCATTTACAATATAGCCACACAAACTTAAAATGACCCTATTTGTTAATGCTAAGGTATACAAGAATTTTTGATCATTTACAGTCTGTGCCAACTATCTTTGACTGCTTCTATGATACAACAGCAGTAACGTATGTAGTTAACAAATACACTGTATATTACATACATTTATGTAGGTAAACACATAAAAAAAAAAAAAAGTTACCCTTTGGTGGTGTTCGTTTTTCATGTCTCTCCGGTTTCTGTTTATGAATTTCTGAAAACAATGCAATGTAGAGTTATCAATATTAAAATACTTTTCACACACAAAAATATCAGATGCATTCTCGCAGTAAGAAATAAGTGCTTCAAATATTATAGCAGAGCCATGGCTTTATCACTTGCATATGCAGAATTATATACAATAAAGTTCAATTTTATATATACATGCAGACAATATATATGGACAAAAATGGTAACATTAAGTGACTGTAATAACTATTCTGTTTTTAATTGAGCAATATAACTGCTTTTAAATCAAGAATAGGTTTTGCCGATCTGTAACAGCTATACAGTAACGCGTTGGTCATGAATCAGAAAATAACATGCTTTTACTAAACATTTTTCTGTATGTGTCCTGAGTTGTTCGCCAGGATTACTATGTAGTGTTTTCCAAATTACCTTTGGAAGGAAATAATGTTCCTTTTACTACATTTTCTAAATTTTTTAAAGCTCGCATGCTAAATTGGTAGCTCCAACACACAATAAAAGGTAGACCCAATGCTGTATACAAATTACAGAGATAAAAGTTCCCAGGTTAGGGATCCTTGTCTTGGAGAATGACTCATTTTAATCATGCTGTATACCAAAGCACTGAGAACTGCCTTGTTAGAGGAGGAAGTGCTGCACTATTTACCTGCCCTTGCTATGCCATATCTTTCAAACAGAATTTCTCACCTGTGATATTGATATTAAATTACTGCTATATTACTCTGTAACTGATTTTTCCTACTGTCTTTACTGTGCCAAAACCAGGATAATATTGAAAATGCAAAATGTTGAATTTGAGAAAAAGCAAACCAGCATTAAACCAAGCTTGCCTAGCACTGTTTGCATGAAGTGGTAGAAATTTAGAGGCCGTTTATTACAGGTATGCAATAAGGTCATTAACGCTATACAGAGTGCCAGGTTTATGGTATCATGCAGGTATTTCCTGCAGTAGGAAACTGGTATAAAATACAGGATCAAATTTGTCTTTGACAAAAGCACATGCAAATCTCACTAGACTCTATGGGAGATGCCTCCCTGTATTTTAGGGTTAGATTTGGTCTGCAGGGTCTAAATAACAAAATTAATACATCAGGGAAAAAGTTATGCATATTACATCTCCACTCTAGGGAGCTACTTTAATGTCTGTTGAAGACAACTAAAATCGTCCACTTATATCCTTAGTTATTTGCTCAGGTTGTAACAGGATGCATGTTGCCAAAGACATCCAGTAGAAAACGGTATTTTCCCTTCCCAAGACTCTGATCTTTGCATAGGTCCTTGAAAATAAATGGAGAATGTTTTTATCGGACAGTGTTTGCCATCTGAAAAAAATGATTGTGTCTGGTTTACAAGAAACATAACTATTTTAGGGCATCAGCCTACATTGTCATCAGATAGAATGTTATTTCACTGAGATAAAGGGTAACAAAGACCAAAATGCGTATCGCTGTTAGCCACTAATGTATGGCAGCATAACTAAGCTAATTATATGATGTCACTAAGCTAAAAGGACTTTTATTCAGTTTTCATCTTGCTCCTTGCAGCCTGGGTGTGTAGTTTGTTTATTGTTCTATAAACCTCAAAGGTTGTGATTAGGAAGAAATCATGCCATATTGATTTACTGCATTTCAGCTGAGCCTGGATTATTTTTCTGCAACTATGTGAAGATTTTTTTTCTATCAACTGAGAGAATCTAGTTGCTGGATTTTCAAACTTCTCCCACCTGTTCTGCTGAAAAGGATGCATAAACTAGTTTAGGTAGCGTAAGTGGGAGGAGCGGTGCAAGACAAGAACAGCCAGAGGATTGCTCCCCGATTCTGAGCACATCAGAGCAGTTCTCCATGCTGCTGCTCCAGACAGCCTCCAAACCCTGACTTAGTGCATTTAAAGAAAGCTAAGTCACTGCCTCTGCATTGCAACATACAGCGGAGATGTATCTCACCCAGCTCAAGAGGTCATCCTACACACAGAGCTGAATATGGCCCACTAAGTGATAAATCACATTCTTCAGGCAGAGTCATCTACACAGACACGTATTCCTTGCTTGCCTTAAGATACCTCAGCTCCGCTGGGTTCCCACCATCTGTTATGTGTCTCACTACAGAAAATAGGCCTCTTTTTCTTGAAAAAATAAGTATAAACCTTTGTTATTTCAAAAATGGCTTTTAAAATTACTATGGTCTTAGGGAATTTCTTATTGCTAGCTTGACTGCAAAATATGTATGGAGCAATGGCTGTAGAGCTGGCCACCTAAATCAGCCTCACATTGTATTGGCAGTGAAGCTTACTTGACACAAATGCTTCAGTATCTTACACAAAAAGATCCTTTCTGGGCCACTGCACTGAGAATCTCATCTAATTTGCTGCTACAATTAGGATACCACACATCACAAAAAACCCTACACAAATTCATTGAAGTGAAATACATCTTCATAATACATAAGTATGTGCATATACGTTTTTATATATTGCAAAGCATGCCATCATTAAGATCTCGTCACAAGCTTCCCATTAGAGTTTGAACCATCATAAAAAATTGCAGCCTGGAACCCATCAATTCTGATACATTACAAGCTAAATTTTCCCAGCACAAATAAATCTAGTCTCAATATATGCTGATCTTGATCAATTTACAAGACAGAAAATAGTGACTCTTTGCTAACTCAAAAATATTTAAAATAAGGAAACATATTAGATTATTGGAGATTTTTTTCTGTTCTGAGAGTTTTGATACTCTCTGCTTCATCTTTTATGACAAATAGCTTTAATTTTCTAGTAATCACATCATATCTTATTGCTGAGTTGACAAAGTGGCTATAATATCATAGAAGACTTACATGGCCAGTTTAAAGCATGTAATTTATCTCTATCAATGTGACACATTGTTAATAAATCCTAAATATTATGAATTCAAGTTTAGAAAAATGACAGAATCAAGCAGCAGCAAGGATAATCTGTGTCACCACGGCAACCATCCTGATTCTTTATGAGATGACAGCGTGGTTTATTAAATTATTGTAAGGGAGTATGTATTTTAAAAGCTGTATTTCATTGTTTGTTTTCTTCAGTTATCAAGCAGACATGAAAAATTATCTTTCCTCTGTGTTTCTTTGGTTTTGAATGGATAAGTACTTTATTTCCTTAACTGTGGATACTGTTTGACACTGAATTCTCTAGACCTCAGGTCTTGCGCAGATATACAGAACATGCAGGGCGATTATTTTAAATAACTGCAAGAAGGGAAGCTAGTAGGCTCCTCACTGACCATTTCAAGATGCTGAAAGGAGATATATTTGACTATTTGGTTAGCAGGCCGATATATTTATGTCCAGTTGACCCAAAGCAGGCCCTCACAATCAGCTGAGGATCAGTATCGCAGGCAGCTTTACCGAAAATCCCTGCTGAGCATGCAGTTTGGGCGCTAGCTTCCCCCACCCCTCACCCAGCTAATTTTCATTAATAGCACTTCACAGTGTCTAACGACAGCCCAGCACTGGCTACTCACTACAAAGCCCCAGCTCCAGGAAAATCAAGGTGGGAGAAAGGGAAAAAAAATTACAGTCCCCCGAATCGGCGTGAGCTGGTGGTGCAGCACGGTGCAGGTTTACACCAGCGTGAAGGAAGAGCGCAGCCCCTCGTGGTAGGGCATGAGGAGATTCTCCCGGTTCCTGAAACGGAGTTCCCTTCTTCGTCTGCTCTCATGTTTCTGATTTTGCTTTTTTGTTATCTCCTTTTTTAACATAGTTAAATATATAGCGTTATTCTTAGCTATTTTAGTTGTGTTGTATTATGACAGCACGTATGGGCTTCAGCCCACATAAATTGCTTTAGGTAACACATGGAGTCATAACGCCATGTTGTTGGTTGACGAGAAGCTCAACATGACCCAGCGATGTGCACTCACAGCCCAGAAAGCCAACCGTGTCCTGGGCTGCATCCAAAGCAGCGTGACCAGCAGGTCGAGGGAGGGGATTCTGCCCCTCTGCTCCGATCGGGTGAGACCCCCCCTGCAGTACTGCCTTCAGCTCGGGGGGCCCCAACATTAGAAGGACTCAGACCTGTTGGAGCGAGTCCAGAGGAGGGCCACAAAAATGATCAGAGGGATGGAACACCTCTCCTGTGAAGACAGGCTGAGGGAGTTGGGGTTGTTCAGCCTGGAGAAGAGAAGGCTCTGGGGACATCTTATAGCAGCCTGCCAGTACCTAAAGGGGGGCTACAGGAAAGCTGGGGAGGGACTTTTTACAAGGGCATGTAGTGATAGGACAAGGGGTAATGGCTTTAAACTGAAGGAGGGTAGATTTAGATTAGATGTAAGGAAGAAGTTCTTCACTGTGAGGGTGGTGAGGCACTGGGACAGGTTGCCCACAGAGGTTGTGGCTGCCCCATCCCTGGCAGTGTCCAAGGCCAGGTTGGATGGGGCTTGGAGCAACCTGGTCTAGTGGAAGGTGTCCCTGCCCATGGCAGGGGGGTGGAACTAGATGATCTTTAAGGTCCCTTCCAACCCAAACCATTCTACGATTCTATGATAACATGATAGAATATGCCTTCTCTGTAACACAGGACTTCAAACTTTAAGAGGGCTACATTTCTTCACTTAGTGGGAAAACACAGCACTGCATCTTGCTTCGTTAGAGGATGAAGCGGTGAGCAGCAATCTGGCACTGCTAAAACAGCTCCTAGGTCTCACCCTCTGCTGAGTTTCCATCTTGTGGGTGAAATATATCTTAGAAAAAACAACAAACCAAATAAAAAATGTTAATGATGGGAGAGGCAAAGTGAGAAAAAAAGGGATGATTGTCCCCGTCTGAAACACAAGAATGCTTTACTGAAGGTAACCCAGAAAGTCAGCAAAAGAACTGGGAATTTAACTCTGATCCCTGACATTCAATATTATCCCCCTCATGCTTAAAGCTACCCTGTTTCTACTTAAATACTGTAGTGAGGATGGAATGTAGGTTTAATGTATCCACTGTTTTAAAGATATAATTGAACAGATGGAATTTCAGT